TGTCGAAAACTAGGATGAGAAGAAGATCAAAGTTCTGCGAACAGATGGAGGTGGCGAATACACATCCAAGATATTTGAAGCATTATGTGTAGAACATGGTATTGATCATGAGATAACTTATCCTTATACTCCTCAAAATAATGGAATAGTAGAAAGAAGAAACAAGACCATATTGGACATGACGAGATGCATGTTGAAGCATAAGAATTTGCCAAAATCCTTATGGGGTGAAGCTATTTCGACTGCTGTTTATTTCTGAACAGGTGGCCTACCACGAAGCTGAAGAACAAGGTTCTCAAAGAAGTGGGGAGTGGAAAATGACCATCAGTGAGTCATCTGAAGATGTTTGGCTCTATTTTCTACAAGAATATTCCTGATGCTAGGAGAAGGAAGCATGATGATAAGAGTGAACCTATGATTCTGGTAGGATATCATAAGACTAAAGCATACAGGTTGTTCAATCCAATTTACCAGAAGATTATGATGAGTTGAGATATTGTGATTGATGAAAACTCCACCTGGGATTGGAATTCTAGTAATGCAATTGACAAGCCATTGATGAGCTATGATTTTGACGAAACAAGTAATGATGTCGAAGTAGAAGATATTTGACAATATTCTAGTTGAAGTCGAAGTAGCTGCTGAATTCCCGACATAGTCTAAGTCGAAGAGGATATGGCTGGCACAAGCTAAAGACGTCAAAGAACTAGAGCTCATCTAGAAAGACTTCAAGACTATGAAATGGTTGTTGATGATGAAGTCACAACAGATGGTGAACTAGTTCATTTTGCTTTACTTGCATGTACTGAACCAATCAACTATAGCGAAGCCTTCAAAGATAATTAATGGAAGTCTTCCATGGTCGAAGAGTTACAAGCAATCGAAAGAAACAACACACAAGATTTGGTCGAATTTCCAGCACATACAAAAGCTATCAAAGTGAAGTGGGTGTTCAAGTTGAAGCACAATGTTGATGGGTCGATAGAAAGTCATAAGGCGAGATTGGTAGCTCGAGGATTTATTCAGAGAGAAGGACTCGACTACTTTGAAGTATTTTCTCCTGTCGCAAGATTTAAAATTGTTCGACTAGTGGTAGCCTTTGCATGCAATCAAGGTTGGTCGACATTTCACTTAGATGTGAAATCAACATTTTTGAATGAAACTTTAGACGAAGAGGTGTATGTTACACAACCTCCTGGGTTTGTGATTCAGGAGGAAGTAAGTAAAGTATACAAGTTGCATAAAGCACTCTATGGTCTAAAGCAGGCACCTAGGGCATGGAATAAGAAGATCGACTCATGCTTTATCGAATTAGGATTCGTCAAATGAAAATTTGAGTATGGTGTTTATGTTCAGGTTGTGGAATAAGATATAACCATCATATGCTTATATGTTGATAACTTGTTAGTAACTGGAAGTAACTTGGAGAACTTGTCGAAGTTCAAAGAGCTGATGAAAAAGGAATTTGAAATGTTGGATCTGGGAAAGTTGTCGTACTTCCTAGGTATGGAATTTCAAATGTCGAAGCAAGGTATGATGCTACATCAAAGAAAGTATATCAAAGAGATACTCAAGAGATTCAAAATGGATGATTTGACTTTTGGATCTTCGCATATCGAACCAAATTTAAAGTTGAAGAAGCACAGAGAGGAAGAAAAAGTCTATACGACTTTGTTCAAACAAATTGTCAGATCTCTGAGATATATGTTCAACCGTCGACCTGATATATGTTTCTCAGTTGGATTAGTGAGCAGATATATGAGTGAACCAATGGTGTCACACATGAAGGCTGCAAGAAGAATCCTGAGATACTTAAGAGGATCGACAAATTATGGAATCTTATTTCGAAAAGACTTTGAAAGAAAAGAATATATGGTTACTTGCTATTCAGATGCTGATTGGTGTGGAGATAAATAAGATCGAAGAACCACTATTGCAAATTTATTTCAAGTATTTAGTTCCCCAATCTCATGGTGCTCGAGAAAGCAACCTGTGGTGGCATTGTCATCATGTGAGGCTGGATATATAACAAGATCATATGTTGTGTGTCAAGCAATTTGGATCAGATATGTGTTGGAAGAGATCAAGGTCGAAGTGAAGAAACCTTTGGTGTTGTAGATCAACAACATGTTAGCCATAAATTTGGAAAAGAATCCAATTTTGCATGGAAGAAGTAAGCACATCAAAGCTAGATTTCACTTCTTAAGGAAAATATGAATTGAGGTGAACTTGAAGTAAGACATTGCTCAAGTGAAGCACAATTGGCCGACATTTTCACCAAAGGATTGAAGATCGATAGGTTCCTAACTTTGAGAAAGAAATTGAGAATAATTCAGATCGACAATGATTAGTGTATTTTGACAACTTGGATTATATGGAGTATGTTGAGATATTAGGTATAATACAAGTTGAATTATGTGGCTGAAGCTCAAAGCTAGTTAGGGTTTAGGGATTGTTACTTAGTTTTTTTTTATATTTGTTGCTTAGTAGTCAAGTCACTTAGGTGTATATAAATAGATACTTTGTAATTTAGTTTTATCATTCCATTCAATAATACTAATTTTTATTTCCTTATTCTCTTTCTTTCTCTCCTCACTAAAAGTACCTCACGCACTAACAACTATAACAACAAATTGAGAGTAAAATAATAATAGAATGAAGAAAATAGATAATAAACCGATAAATAATCAGACTAACCATGTATATACATAAATTGGACACATTAACTACACTATCAATTTTGTATAAGAAGAGTTAAATACTCCCTCGTCCCTATAACACACACGCGTGCGCGCGCACACGCGCACACACACACACGCGCGCACACACGCTCGCACGCACGCACACATGCATACACACACATAACGATTTTTTTTTAATTTTCCTAGATAAACTGGTAACAAGTATAACTCTTCACAACTCACATTTCCCTAAAAGAAACTTTTGCTCTTGCTTTCTCTCTAGCCTCACCCTCACTCAATTTATTCTTTTCGAAATTCAAAACCCATCTTCCATCATGTAGTAGTTTTAGAGATTGGTGGTGCGATAAATGTAGGTTTCTCTGCATCACCTCTTCAATCCGTCGGGGTTGCACAACACAACTTTAAATCCTGCTCCAACTCGTTGTCTTGGACACCAGCGTTACTCGTTTCTTCGGTTCTGACTCGTTGATTGCTCGCAACTCTGATTGAGGTGTTTGATTGGATTTTGTGCCAAGCTTTTTGGATTCCTTAAGGATATGAATTGTTGTTTGTTTATGAGTCGTATTTCTTCTTCTCCTCTCTGACGGTCAAGCTGTAACTCAGATTCACAACCTACTGTCACCGTCATTTGCAAGGTTGTCGGTGTTTTTCAAGGTCCAACTAGGGTCAGATTGTTGTGTTGCTCCAGATATTTTTGGATGCCAGTGGTGATTTAAGTCTTTTTCATTTGATTTCGGCTTTCCTCCTCCACGCGCGTAGGATTGGTTGTTCTCTTCAACTCTCAGTTTATCTAGTTCACTTTTATTGTTTGAATCTAGACTATTATATCAAAAATGACTTGTATGCTTGTTGCTATTGTTGCTAGAAATTGATGGTAAGTGGATTGATGATGCGTTGACGGTTGGTTAGGTTATGCTCGTATTGATTGTTTATTTGTTAAGCTTAATCAGAATTGAGTTCTATTTGTGTAATTTTATCTATTTCGATTGATTACACTTTTATTTAGACTAATTGAATCAATTTTAAGGCTCTTTGTATTTCTCCGGTTTTTATTTAATATAATTTTTGTTTTTTTTGTTTTTCTTTAAAAAAGTATACTACTATGTTTTAATAATAATTATACTTAGGGAAGGTAGGGATATTTTTGTGTGGCATAGATTACTAGTGCATTAATGCATGGGCTTTGTGCAATTAACCATGTCATATTTATGCATGAATATAACGTTATGGTCACATTGTATGCTAGCCTCTAGTGTTATAGTGGTTACTAGTGTCTAGAGTATGTTATAAATGTGGTATGTTTTAATTTGCTGCAAAGGGTTCTAGGCTAGTCCCATATAATAAGTTTCTTTGAAATGGTCAGAAAGTATATTCAAGTTGGCTTATTCCAAAGAAAAGTCATGAATTGATGGATATTATGCATTAATTGGAAGACTATTTAATAAGAAAAGTCCAACCAAATATGAAACGGTTTTCATCACTTACAAAATCAAATGAATCAAGCAAGTCATTTAAATTAGTTCCATAAAAAACCTCAATTTTTGAACGTATTGAATAAGTTAAAACTGAGAACGTTTCCTTCACGTAGCTAAACTAGCTCTGACTAGTATTGCTTAATCAATGGCGATTAATTATTAATTAACCTTCTTGTTTCCACTTAATAATAATAACAATAATCAGAAATTTCATCGAGAAATAAAAGACTAATGAAGTTTATTCCAACCAAAATTCAAAATCAGATTCTTTTAAATAATTTGTTATTTGCTTGATGTTCATTAAACTACTCAAATTCAATCACTTATTTTTTTATTAGAAATTTAATAACTTATAAAAACATATGATCATTAAATAAACAAAGGTCTTGCTAACCAGTACCCTCAGGGCACTATTTAAACATTCCATATTAAGAAATTATTTTTTAAAAAATTCAAACACTTCAATTTCCAATGCACATTATTACACATTATTGCACATACTTTTATAAAAATTTATTATTTAAAATTTTAAAAAGTGCCCTGAGAGCACTTGTTAACATTTCCCAATAAAGAAATATATATGCAATTGCACCGAAAATATGGTTGGAAATCAAAATCATAGCATTAACTTGAAAGGGCTAAAAGTCCTATGTTATTGGAGGACCACTCTGCAATTAATACAAAATATAGACTTCATGAAATGTTGGGGTCTTCTTATGCATATAAATATGGATTAGCAGATGGAGAAAAGATATCAAAGTTGTGTGCTTACATTTTGATATCATTCATCAAACAATATATTACTAAAAAGAAACACTTCAATATGTCTAATATTTTTCTGCTTATCTGTATACTGTCTATTGGATTAGCATTTACAGGTAATTACAATATATATATATATATATATATATATATATATATATATATATATATATATATATATATATATATATATATATATATATAATATATACTTTTATTTTATATTCATAAGGTTACGACTTACGAGTTCGAATTCTGACAAAGTATCTGTCTATGTCTATGCAGGTGTACAATCCATAGGAGTTTGCTATGGAATGATTGGCAATAACCTACCATCCAAGCAAGAAGTTATAGATTTATATAAATCAAATGGCATTAATAGAATGCGTTTATATTATCCAGATGAAGAAGCCCTACAAGCCCTTAGAGGTTCCAACATTGAATTGATTCTTGATGTGGCTAAGGAAACTCTTTCTTCTGTTGCAAATGCCAATGAAGCCACAAATTGGATCAACAAATTTGTTAAACCCTACTCACAAGATGTTAAATTCAAATACATCACTGTTGGAAATGAAATCAACCCTAATGACAATGAGGCCCAATACATTCTCCCTGCATTACAAAACATTCAAAATGCAATTTCAGCAGCCAATTTACAAGGCCAAATCAAGGTCTCTATAGCAATAGCCATGTCTTTGATTCAGAGTTCCTATCCACCTAATAATGGTGCTTTTGTTGACCCAGCAAAGTCATATATACAACCAATAGTTAACTTCCTAGTGAACAATGGGTCGCCATTTCTTGCAAATGTGTATCCATACATCGCTTATGTCGGTGATAAACAAAATATCCCTCTTGACTATGCTCTTTTTAATCAACAAGGAACCAATGATGCTGGATACCGAAATCTCTTCGATGCGCAGTTAGATTCAGTATATGCTGCTCTTGAGAAAGTTGGGGGATCCAATTTGCAGATTGTTGTGTCTGAGAGTGGATGGCCATCTGCTGGTGGAGATGGGGCAACACCTGAAAATGCGGCCACATATTATAGTAATTTGATTAATCATGTTAAGAGTGGGACTGTGAAGAAACCTGGTATGGCTATTGAGGCTTATTTGTTTGCCATGTTTGATGAAAATCAGAAGACCGGTGCATCAACTGAACAACATTTTGGTCTCTTTAATCCTGACAAATCGCCTAAGTATCAAATAAGTTTCAACTGAAAAAATGAACGGTTTTAAAAAAATATATGTAACTAAATATAACTTACTATGAATAATTGTGCGAGAGTGCACATGTCGTTGTTATTGTTGTTTGATGTTCCTATATATATAGTGAATTAAATAAATGAAAGGTGATGTACTTGTTTAATTCTTACTTTTTATTCTGGTCTGTGTTAGATGTTAGGGTGTAAAACATCAAAATCGGGTTTTTCTCATATTCTTATGTCAAATTTAAGTTTGTTGGGAAGAGATAAAAAAAACAACTTTTGCATTAGATAATCATATATCTATTGAGAATAACAAGTAGGAGTTGAAAATTTTGAGAAATAAAATTTGGGGAAGTCTCACACTAATTATAAAAGTGGAGAATTGTGCATTTATAAGTAAGAGAACTCATCACTACAGTAGATAATACTTTTCATGACGAAACTTTCACATCGAACAATAGAAAACTGAGGTATAAAGCGAAAACACGCTATTTTTTTATTAATTAAAAAAATAAAAAATCATACATTCCTTCGGTTTTAAACTATTGCAATTTATAATTTTATTTGTTTATAAGTGTAAACAAAATTTTCTAAATCTTTCGATTTTCTTTTTAACCGAGACATTAAATAATAAGATTTTACTATAAAAGCATTTGTTAAACAGATTTTACCCTAATCCTTACTAATATGAAGTCGCCCCAAACTTGCAAACGTCATTCTTCGGGATGGATCGTAAGACAGAAAAAATCTTCAATGTTTTTCTATCTTTAACAAAATATTTTTTCCCTTACAATTCATCTCACATAACGGTGTTGATATTATCATTGTTGTATTTTTAGAACAATCCTCAGTTAAAGAAGGGAGCTCAACCTTTGAAAAATACTCGGTTGATAGATTGCAAGTGCAGAAAATCATTCTTGCTTCAAGTTACACAGAGATGGAGCTTAACCAACAAGAAATGTAGCTTAACCTTTGAACAAAGAATGGAATGCAAGACTTAGATAGTCGAGTTACTTAAGCAAGACATAAAAAAGAAAATCCCTTAGGCGAAACATAAAAAGGCAAGTCCTCAGAAGAGACTTAGATAGTCTAGTCCCTTAGGTGAGTATCCTAGGAGAGAGTTGTTTAGATTTAGAGGCACGTGAAGTATTTAAGGCTTTATAATGATGAGGTCGTTGATCCTGACGACCAGGGTTTTGAAAAGACTAGCGGGCAAGTGACCCACCTTCATTCTGAATTGGATTCAGACGAGTTTGACTTGCTCATGATTATTAAATATGGACAGCTAGTTGAAAAGGAGGACATGCCCAGCCAAATAAGTGACCCCTTATAACTATGAAAAATGTTACAATTATGGAGAATAAAACCACCAATGAATATCGGCCAGAGAAATGGGAGAAAACTCTTTCCAACTCTTAAGTTTTTTTACTGTAATATCCTGTATACTCTTAAGTGCTCTAAATGTTATCATTTGGGACAAATAGAATAATTAGTGGACTAAGAAGAGATCAACTCTTATTAAAAGAAACTGACATTTATTTATTATTACAAGAAAGTATATTTTGGTAACATTAATAATTGGTTAAATTCTCTCGTAGATGTATATCCCTATGAAATATCCTTTAAGATATTTTATTTACCAACTTTTCTTTACAACCACTCATTTTTCTCTCTCTTTACTATCCACTCGTTTCTACCCATATGCCAACCACACTTTTCCTTGTTCTATCCATCAGTAAGCATGAGTAAACAAAAGAAATATAAAAGAAGAGAAGAGCGGAGAAGAAAGAAAGATGAGAAAAAAGAAGAAGAAGAAGCTTAAGGACGGGAACTTCGGGTTCAACAATCAAGGCTTTGGTAATGACAGTTACGGCAACAATCAGGGGTATGGCTACGGTAATGGTGGATTCGGTAATGTGAATGTGAACGGCGCTGGAGCATTTCCTTTCAACAATGGTTTCGGACCCACTGGGGTCAATCTAGGGTTCGGCAACCGAGGACAGGGTCCTGTGATCAATCAGCAGGGATTGGGCCGTAATATGGGTTATGATGGGTACGGCAATGACTGGAATGTGGATCAACAGGATGGCGCTTTTTCAGGAAGAGGTATGGGACCTGAAGGCCCTATTGACCCTGTTCAGAGGATTAGAATGCTAGAAGAGCAGATGAAAGGTGTGGTTGATCAGAACTCTGCTGGATTAGATATGACTACTATGGGGTTGGTACTAGGGCTGAGGGTGCCATTAAAATTCAAGGCTCCAACATTCGACAAATACAAAGGGGATACCTGCCCAAAGGTCCATGTACGTTCGTATTATAGAAGGATGTCTGCGTATTCCAATGATGAAAGGATGTTCATGCATTTCTTTCAAGACAGCTTATCGGGACCATCATTGGAATGGTACATGGGACTGGAGCCCACTCAGATTAGGAGTTGGAAGCAGTTGGCTGATGCTTTTGTTATGCATTACAAATATAACAATGATTTGGCGCCAAACAGGGTTCAGTTGCAGAGTCTGTCGCAGAAAAATGGTGAAAGTTTCAAAGAGTACGCGCAGCGGTGGCGCGATATGGCAGCGCGGGTGCACCCTCCTTTGGTTGAAAGGGAGATGAATGACATGTTTGTGGGGACGTTTACTGGAATGTATTATGACAAGTTGCTCAATGTTTCGATGGACAGTTTCTCCGATATGATCCTTATGGGGGAAAGGATCGAAAATGGAATTAAAATTGGAAAGATTCAGGCAGGCGAATCTACTCCAGCTGGGGGTGCGAGAAAAGCGTTCGGTGGAAGACGACAGGGTGATACAAGCGCCGTATTTGGTGGCAGAGGCCGGGGCAGAGGCAGAAATCAGTACATTCAACCTCAACAGATAGCCAGTGTTACTATTCCAATTCCTCAGCAACAACAACCACAATAACAGCAACAACAACCGCAGCAGCAGCAAAGGCAGAATCAGGGTCAAGGAAGGTTTCAGAATGTGAGGCCGAAAAGGGTATTTGACAAGCCTCCGTCGACTTATGCAGAGCTTCTTCAGACACTGCTGGGTTTGAATTTGGTCGAGAAAAGGACAATGGAACCACCTACAGGACTGGTACTTCCTAGGGGGTACGACGCTAATAAGCAATGCGAATTCCATTCCGGGGCGCCCGAGCACGATATAGAATCTTGTCATGCCTTCAAGCATAAGATTCAAGACTTGTTGAACAGTAAAGCCATAAACTTTGGCCAAGTGGGGCCCAATATTGTACAACAGCCTATGCCTAATCATGGGGCAAATGCCATCTTAACAGAAGAAAATTTGAACCTGGTGTTGGATGTTAATGAGCTGAAGACACCATTGAGTGAAGTGAAAAACAGGTTGCTCAGAGGGGGAGTATTCCCCGGTTGTGATGAATACTGTTTAGAGTGTTGGACCAAGCCTGAGGGTTGTACTGATTTGAAGCAGGGCATTCAGGCCATGATCGACGAAGGGACCTTGCAATTTGACCGAACTGCGGTTGAGAAGCCTGTGGAGGCATTATGTGATGAGCAGAATGATATTGCAACGGTAACGATCCTGAGGAAGACTATAACGATAACAGCGCCCGCCCAGCGGCCAACTATTACGAATACCAAAGCAGGGCCTGTTCCCTTTAAGAGTACGAAAGCTGTCCTGTGGACATATGGATTAGAAGCATATTGCAACGGTGAAAAGATTGTGGTGAATAGCCAGCCTGCTGGTGTTGTTGATAATATCATTGGAACGGGGGGCATGACCCGTAGCGGAAGGATCTTTACCTCACCTGAAATAGAAGCAGAGAGGTTGGTCAAAGGTAAAGCCAAAGCAAGTGAAAGCGGACCTTCTCAGTCGAAAGAAAATGATACGTCGCTCAAGGACGTAGAGGAGTTCATGAGACTGATTCGTAAAAGCGACTACAAAATTGTTGAACATCTGCAGCAGACGCCGTCGAAGATTTCTATCTTGTCGTTGTTGTTATGCTCCAAGGCCCACCGGAACGCCTTGCTAAAAATATTGGATACGGCATTCGTGCCCCAAGAAGTTTCTGTAAATCAGTTAGAGGGGGTAATGGCACATGTCAATGCTGGACATAGCCTGGGTTTCACAGATTTTGACCTAACGCCCAAGGGTCGGGAGCACAACATGGCCTTGCATATACCGGTGGAATGCCGGGGCACCGTAATGTCGCGTGTATTGGTAGATACTGGATCGTCGTTGAACGTATTGCCAAAGAAAGCCATGATGAAATTGGACATACGGGGAGTTATTTACACGCCCAGCGATTTGGTTGTGAGGGCGTTTGACGGGACGAAAAGATCAGTGTTTGGGTCAATAACATTACCGCTGCAGGTGGGGCCAGAAATTTTTGATACCGAATTCTACATCATGGATATCCATCCAACTTATAGTTGCCTTCTTGGACGCCCATGGATCCATGCTGTAGGGGCCGTAATGTCCACATTGCATCAGAAGTTGAAGTACATGGTAGGCGATAGTGTTGTTACCGTTTGCGGAGAGGAGGATATTTTGGTCAGTCACCTGTCATCATTCAGATATGTGGAGGTCGACGGAGAAATACACGAAATACCTTGTCAAGCCTTAGAGGGGTTGCGGATTAAAGACAAAGCTCAGGGTTCCAGCAAAATGTCAGATGTGGCAGTGTCATCTTACAAAGAGGCTCAGGCTTTAGTGCAGGCTGGTGAGACTAAAGGTTGGGGGAAGGTGCTGGAGATTCCTGTGAAGAACGACAAGCTTGGGCTAGGGTATCGACCGACGTCGTCAGCGTCCTCTTCAGGAGCGCCCAGGTTCAAGGGACCAGTCACGATTACGCCAAGTGGGGTGTGCTTTGAGACTATCAACGCTATTTCCGATGCTGAGGACGGGGATAGCGACTGCGATATGGACGCGTGGATCAAGCCAAGCGTGCCAGGACAAAGTCTCTGCAACTGGTCCATCCGGGAAACTGTCCCAGTGACTTTTAAACAGTAATGATTTATTTTATCAATTGTTG